CGATATTTCATGCCCATAAACGGTTAGCTGTGTTTGGGTGTAGTACGTCAGGTTCCCGAACCACTCGCATACACTGCGAACAATATTTGGTTTACTTTCAAAAGTCTTTATTTCATTCTCATTATCATTTTCTTATTATTATTATCAAAATTATTATTACAATTATTACATCGAGGAATACATCTACACATATATTGATCAATAATACATCATTCATTTCATGTCGCAGAAACCAAATATCCTTCACCCTCTTTACAATTGATATAATTTAGTTTTCTGTGCTCTGAAAATAATTTTACAATACTATAATAATTTTTCCTAGTTCTTTAAATTTCTTAAAATCCTAAGTATACATTTTTATTGTGTCTGCTATTTTCTTGTTAACTTGAAGCCGGAAATTCTCTAATCATTTCGAACAGTGTAGTTATAGCACAGCATCATCTTCTATGCACCGATTTAACGCCCCGACATTTACATATGTCTGTGGTGTGTGCCCCAGCCCCCAACTCCACCCCCGATCTCCGATCCCCGCAGCCCGCCCCGTCCCCGATTCCGAACCGCAACCCGTCTCCCACTCCGTGGCAATGCTCATTGGCGTTGGCGTTTGGTGCAGTACGTGCCTACAAATTATGTTTATTCACGTTTACAAGCCTCTGACATGCACTCCAAGACGAACCTGGAACCGGGAACTGAGCACTGAGAACTGAGAACTGGGCATGGGGTCTGGTCTTGGTCTTGGTCTTGGCCAAGTGGTTCTGGGTACGGGGTTCTGGTTCTGCGCACCAGGGTGTCCCCCGGCATCAACGTCAGCGTCATCATCGCATCGACAGAGTTTGGCATTTTGGCTTTTTGGGTGGGTGACGGTGCCGACGTCATTCCCGCTGCGTCTTCAGGTTCGGTTTCGGGTCGGGGTTCGGGCAGAGGGTTGAGGTTCGGGGCTTGGGTTCGATGCGCTCTCTACGTTAATTTGTTAACAACCATTTTTGGCATTCGTCTGTGCACTTCTGTGTGTCGCCAGCGGTTCCAGATTGATCATGCTGATCACTGATCACTGATGAACGATCATTATCATATGCTAATTATCGTTGATCACTTTATGGGGATTTGTAAAAGCGTTGAAAATTTGGCAAATTAAGTGTAAAATTGAGTTTGAGATTGAATTCGGTAATGAATAAGGAGAAAAAATGTGCGGTAAGGATTAAATTTATGATGTATACAATTTCCAGTGAAACGAACACTTTTGTTTTTATCCGACTCAGATCCATAAGATTTCGACCACACAATCTTGTTGTGAAATGATTATATTATTGAAGGGTTTCGGTTTTAAAATTTGGTTAGGTGTATGTCAAAACTTTGTTTATATATCTGATTCCTTAGAGGATGTGAAACTTTTGGCAGGATCAGAGGCCAAGCAACAACAGCCGAGTCCGCTTGTCTGTCTATTTGATTGTAGGAAATCTGATCTTAGTTTTATAAGTCGAATATGTAATATCGATTATCGCTAAAAACAAAGTTTTCTGATTTTCCAAAAATTGAAGATATCATCAACTTATTATCAAGATCGGCCCACTATCTCCGAACATTTCTATATGAAATCCAAATATATGTTGGGACCGGGCATTTAATTATCAGCATCCCGATAATTGTTCTTTCTTCGCTCTATTTAAAATCGGAATATATTTAAGATATCCAACAAGTTCTAAGGGCTCCAATTTTAAGTAGCTTAAACTTGGCCGAACTTCACAATTTATAAAAACTGAGATTCTGTTAAAAAACGATTTTAAGGTTTAGATCGTAATTATTTGAAATCTCTTAAAAGCCTATTATGACCGGAATATACAACTTTATATTTCATGGGAAAAATAAACACACATGACGGTTAGTCAGTTTTGTATATTGTTTATTAAAATAATTTACAAGATATGCTTATAACATTTGTGAGAAAAATATCTCTTTTTATTTATGTTTAATTAACAGTAAACATCAATAAAAGTTATAATAATGTTTAATACTATTTAGTCATGGAAAGCATAAATACATTTTGCTATATTATCCGATGTGTTGATCTAAGTATATTTCTTGCAAATACTTTCACCCCGATCTTGTGAGAGTTCCTCATAAGAAACGTAGCAACAATTTTAGCAAATCTTTTGGCAGTTCACTATGCCCCGAGGCTTTACACACCATGCGATTTAATGCATAAATTAGTTAGAGACCGCATCAAAACTACGGGGGAAAAATCCGCCAGCTGCTTATACATATGAGCTGCATTCAGCCTAGAACCGTTGTTGTTCATTTTCACATGATTTGGGGAACAGCAACAACAACAGCAGCATGAGGCAATAAAAACTTGGAACTCAAACATGAAGCTCCTCCAACGGCTAGTTGCATATGCACAGCGCGTAGCAGGCTCTACAACCGGGCCCCGACCCCCGGTCCCCGTCGCTTGTTGCATCCATCGAGTGGCCCGCTAGTGAAGCGGGCAACTAATTTCAAGAAAACAGCGAGTCCATATTGCATGATGCAGTGCAGCATGAGGCGATTTTTATGTTAAGCACAAGGAATTCGGGCTATTAGCGCCAAAGGATTTTCTCATGGTTTAAAAATACCCAACGTGCGACAAATTTGGCCGCCGGCCATGTGCAGCACGAAAGCTGCACGCGGAGCTCGCCCGCCACTCCGAACGCGTCGAGGGCGGGGTCCAGGCATGGCGGAACGGCTGGACAGGCAACCACAACAACAACAACAACAGCATCTGATTGCCGGCAATTGCGGGCGGTGCGGTTGGCAGCCAGCTGAGCCTTGGCCGAAGCGGGGGGTGGGGGGCAGCTGCGACCGGTCAGAGAGCTGCGCCTGCCTGGCATACAATTTAATATTAAAGTTGATAAACATTTTGACCACGGCAGTTAGTAAGCAAACGTACGATCCACCTACTCGCCTTCTTTAACGGCAGCCGCTGCAGCAGCAGCAGCAGCAACTGTGGCAGCAACCGCCATCATCATCATCAGCAGCAGCAGCCGCAGCAGCCGCAGCCCCGGCAGACAGTGGACGTGACCCGACCGGTCGGTCGGTCAGTTGCTCTGACGATCGGTCCGAGAGGCTGGTGAAATAAATTCAGAAACTATGTCGAAACTTGCCAACTGATTGCGCCACAGATTCGCACTTAGTCAGTGGCTGTGGGTTAAAGGGTTGGGGACTCGGCGGGGGCAGCGGAGTGTGGTGCAGTGGCAAGCGGGAGACAGGGGGCGTACTGTTTCGGGACATAAACGGGGGCGTGTTGAGCGCGGCCTCGCAATAAGCTTTAGCCTTTTGGTAGTCGAGTCAAGTGGGGCCAAAGCTCTGGGCCACGTTTCAGAAGCAGGGACCATGATGAAATTAAAAATTAACCTTTAAAACCAAATATAAATTAATAAAATTGTAAAACTGTATAAAAATGAAAACAGCCAAAAAAAAATACAATAACTTTACACTTTAAAAAATAAAAATTTTAAAAGTAGAAAATACATTTTAGACGATCCATTTAAACACAAAAAACCTGAAAAAAGTAAAAGAATAATAATCTACAAAAAATTGAAACGGCAAAACAATAATATAATAATAATGGAATATAAATTATTATTGGACTTCATAAATTGACTTTAAAAATAAATTAAAAATAATTACCACAATTTATTCAATAAATATTTATAAATATATTAGCAAAATTTCTAAGTATGTATCTTCTATTGCAATATAAAACAAAGCTTTGGATAATGAAGAAAAAAAAATCATAAAATGTTTTAAATTAAGAAACTGTTGCATTTTTTAAAATATAGTTTGATACTTATACATAAAAGTTAAAATGAATTATAAAAATTAAAATGAATTATAAAAATTTTAAGCTTAAAATCAGCTTTAATTTTGTCATATTTAGATTATTTAATACCTTCTTTAAATTTGAGATTGTAACTCTTTCTCTCTCATTCCGCACAGTCAATTGCTGGGTAAAGGGAAAATTCAGCATTTGCCCACGCCCCAAGAAGCTGACTCCACCTTCGATCCGTGCTTGCGACTGATGCAGCCCTGGCTCGATAAAATGAGCAGCCACTTCATACACACACACACATACTTGAACGCATACAGGTACAAAATCATGTCCAGAGCGAGTCTTACATGGAGCTGGAGTTGGACTCGCTTTGGCTGGCTTTGGCTGGAGCCGAACGCTTTTCAAGAAATCAACGTCCAACGCGATTGTTCCCATGCAAGTTTCTACAAATATTTTTTTGTGAATTATTACCTTCGTATTTTTCCAGTTCGCGAGGAGTCAAATTGGTCGGCACACGCTCGAGGGCACACGCCATTTCCCACGGAGCGAGCATTTATGGCGGGCACTGAGGCTGCGACTCTTGGAGACTTGGAGAATGAGGCAGCGGCAGCGGCTGCTGCTGGGGCTGGTGCCTGGTGCCTGGCCTGCTGTCTGCTTTGCCCTGCCCTGCCCCGACGACCCACCGCTGCTGCTGATCGCTGATCGAGGACGCGCCATGAACCGTAGCCGACTCGGCTGCTGCTGCTGCTGCTGGGGCTATGACATGGCCAGGCAGGTGGTAGGTAGTTCAATTAGGCCCATTGGTTGATATCAATGGCCAAGACGCAGTCACAAAACTGTCAACCGGCCACGTAATGCAGCATAATTGCCAACTGCGGCAAGTGTCCAACTGTCCAGCAATTCAAATAGCGAACGCATCCTGCTGGGAATTTGATGCCCAGCACACACACACACACGCAGACACAACAGCCTACACCTTTTGGCTAATGGGCCAGGCTTCCATTGGGAAACCGAAACCGAACCCGATCACGATCCAAGTTCAAACCCACGCATTTCGATGCGGTTTCTTCTTGGTGTTTTTTTTCCCCTCTCTTTCTTATGCCTTTTAATTGGCTTGTCGCACACCGAGAGTGTGTGTTTGTGCGAGAGAGAAAGAGAGAGAGAGGGGGGGAAGGAATGAGGCGAGGGTTAGCTGTTAAGGAGCGTCATGTAACCGTGTCTGGACTTGGGCTGGGTTGTCACTGGCATTGCCATCGGCATCTTCCTTGGCCTGGGCTAATAGAAGTGATGTCGATAGCACTTAAACACGATATCCGTTTCAATTTGTTTGGATTCTTCAATTTAAAAGGTGATAATTTTCTACTTTATGGCCCTCGACATGTGGGCCACCCATAAAACTGATATCGGAGTACTCTCCTCTCACTCTGTGCTGGTGTGTGTTCCCTGTGTGCTGTGCTGTGCTCTGCTCTGCTGTGCTGTGGTTCCTGTCCATATACATTCAATACATTCGCCAGCTGAACTTCGAGTCGGAGTTGAAGTCGGAGTTGGAGTTGAAGTTCTTGACGGTCGTATCACTCGCTTAATTTGTTATTCGCTGGTTTTCACACTTGATAATTGTGGCTGCGGTCTGTGGCGGGTCCAAGGGAGTTGGACAACTTACGGCAACCACCAACAGCATCATCCTCATCATCATCCTCATCATCATCATCATCAGCATCATCAGCATCATCATCGGCAGCCTGTTGCCACTTTGTGTCGTCTGTGTGGGCAGTTTCATTGCTAGCGAACAACTCGGGTTTATCAGCACTGACCGGAGCGACAGAATGTCTAAATTTTTTTTGATTACTGAATCTCAGCGATTTTTATGCGTTTGTATCACATAAAATACGAAGCGCAGAGCTCAGCCCGGAGGCGTTTTCAATGATCAACTAAATCAACACAACAATTAATTAAAACACTGAGCGAAAATTTGTGTTAGCCCAGCTGGAATTTGTATTCAAATCATGTCGTCCCATTGTCTGATGCCAGTTGATCTTTAATGCTCGTCAATGCAAATGCAAATTGCTTTTAGCTCTTATTTCAATTTCAATTTCGGGTGGTCTCCAATTTAATGCCTGATTTGCATAGTTGATCCCAACTTTTGTTTTAGCCCCTGATAAACGTGGCACTATTTAAAGCTTTATATTTCGTATTTATTTTATGGCTTAATGGCTTTCACAATGATGTGTCGACGATTAGTTGACAAATTAAACACGTTTTTAAGATCCAACTGATTAGAGAACAACTGCACAAGATGTTGTGTGAAAGCGTGTATCGGGAATTAGAAATTAAATACAATCTCATGTGGTTCCCAGCTTTCAATTATTGACCAGGTTTGGAATTCTTTTTTAATGTCATTGCAAAAATGAACAAATCTGTCAAAGCAATTAATGGCTCAACACATTTTTATTTGTATTTGATTAACAATTTGTCATCAAAGTTAAGTGTAATTTAAGTTAATTGAGTTAAATATTTGCGTATAACAAAGTGACTATAAGCAATAAAATCATCGCAGCATTTGGGCGGATTACTGTCAAAATTGTTACCTTCTTGTCAATAAATAGTTCTTATTCTTAAAATTTGTTTCATTATAACGGTTTTTATTAATTTTAATATACACTATTGATTTAAATAAAATATATGTGCTTATGCCAGCATATTTAAGGCTCAAATTCTTAAATAATAAAGTAATATCTTGTATTTCGATAAATTTATTTAAATGTTGATGTAATATATATCTAGACGAAAATTGTTGTGCCGCTAGGAAATTGATTTAATTATGCAAAAGTTGGTTATATTAAATTTCATTTAATTTGAAAGAAATTAGACAAATATTTAGCAGTTATAATATTCACAAAAAAATATACGTGCTATAGTATAAATATTTACACAGAGCTTATTATCAGTTTTCATTTTATTAATGCGAATAATATACAATTTAATAATATAAAAAATCATTAACACAAAGAAAAAATATACAACTATTTTTGACACAAGACTATGAAGAACTGCCTAAACATTGAAATGAAATTTGAACTTGATAAGAAGCTTATCACCAAACGCATATAAAAATCTAATTATAGGCAGTGAAAATGCTAAATAAATTATTCAAGTAAATCTAACATAAATTTAAATATTAACATAATAATCTAAATAAAATATAGAAAATCGTCTGCATAAACTCAATTATATTTAGATACAAATCAAAGCTGAAAAACATTTATAATTCCTTTATATATTTCTTCCTTTATTTCCCCTATTACAAAACCTTCTTTAAGTAACATTACTTTTTAAGACAATTTCAATTATTTTCTCATTGCCTGTGAGCTGCGACCCCTCGGACCTGAAGCCCTGAGCGAGACCCAGGTCTGCACTTGGGCGACTTCTACATTGATTCCGCATCGCAACGAAGGGCTCGGGCAACTGGCAACGTTGGCGGCGTCGTCGTCGCCGTCGTCGGCGTCGGCGGCCTCCTCTGAAAGTCTGAAAAAGCTGCAAAGCACAATATGAAATCATATCACTAGACATGGCTTACAATAACAATCGGGGCCCAGACACAGACACAGACCCAGAGTCAGAGTCCAAGTATGACTGAGTGTTGTATGTTGATGTTGATGTTGTATGAGTTTTACAGTGAATGCTCTCAACGGCAACAGCAACAGCAAAAGCAACAGCAACGGTAACAACAGCAACAGCAACAGCAACAGCTACAACAGCAATGTGCCAACAATGATATTAAAAATAACAATTGTCTTCAGTGGTCTTTAACACCCGCACCGCTGATAGACAACAACAACAACAACAACAAGAACAACAACAGCAGCAACAACAACGCTTGAGTGGCATATAAAAGTCACATCGACAACTTCGATTGACTAAAGAAAATATTGTGTAGATGGTGCGGATCGAGCGCGCTCGAGCGGAGTTCATAAAGCACCGAGAGCATTTTGAATACCTGAACAATCATAAAAATAATGACGCTGCACATTCCAAGCAGCAGCCGCCGCAGCAACAGTAACAGCAGCAACTCCCAGCCAAAAATATAAAAAAAATCTCAAACCGATCCCGACTCGAGCACACAGATGGAGTCAGAGTCGGAGTCGGAGTCGGAGAAGGAGTAGGAGTCGGAGTTGCTGCTGCTCTGATGAGCTTTTGCAGCCCCACCAATACACAGCATGGCATGGAATCAGTCCCGGCTTCATAAATTAGTGATATGGCACATTACAGTATAGGACTCTACGCGAGGTCAATGCGGCGTATGCGCAATTTGGGCATGCAAATTGTGGCGCTGTTGCTGCTGCTGCTGCGTCTTCCAAGGAAATTTGCATCATGTTGTGATTAATGAAGCGACTGCCAGCGCACGGATCACGGATCACGGATCACTGACCAGCCAATGGCTTACCACTGACAGCTTATCAGTGAAGCAAGCCCCCCTCGGACCTAAGCGGCCCCAAGACCAGAGCCAATTGTTGCCTTGCGTGTTCCGCTGACTAAAGACTTCAATTCAGCTTCAATCATTTCATTTAACTGATGATGACGATGCGGCTGCTGCTGCTGCTCCTACTGCTGCTGCTCTTGCTCCTGCCGCAGATGGTCGTCATTTTGCGCAGCGTCCAAGTCCCAATTTCAGGCGCTCGACACGCAACTTCCATTTCGAGCGTTTTGGCTACCAGAGCCAAGGCACTTAACTACTTTATTGGTTCGACTGTAGCTGCGACTCCTTCGCACACACCTGTGAAATGACAACAACAACAACTAACAGATATCAATGCAGAAGTTCTTCAGCTTCTTTTATAGTTTAATGAGCCACAACACACATTAGAATCGAAAGGTTTATATGTCATAAGGCTCGTAAAAGAACGGTATTTTATTGAGTACAGAAAAGTAAAAAACAAAACAAAAAAAAAAGATTTCTAAACGCCATAGTTATATATCGACATATATCGCACCTCACCCAACCCATAATAACCCATTTTAATTGACCATCAAAAAAGAGAAAAAAACGAAGAGTATAAAGAATATACAAAACTTAAATGTGGATGAGTTTGTCGACGAGAGGCGGGCGGAGGCAGCGACAACCTTCGTATCATTTCAATGGGTCCATGTCCGCGCGCTGTCGTTGTCTATGGCCGGGTGGGCTATAAATTTTGTATCGGCATTTGCCATTGTGTGGCCGACGATATTATCGGGCGTGGAATTTATCGTGCCATGTGGGGGAGCCATCAAAAGTGCGACAGAGACAGCGGCATATGTGTGGAAAGGAAGAGGAAGAACGCTAGGAGCCGCAATATTTCATGGCTGATGGATACGGATGTGATATATCGTAGTACAAGCGGGCCGTGATATATAGGCTCATGTGGAGGTGCGCATAAATCAAACGATGGTTGGAAAACAACAACAACAACAAAACAACCAAAAAATCGTATGATGTGGTCGTTTTCCCGGCGGGCCGCCCATGTTAAGGAAACAAGTGCACTGGGAATAAAATGGTGTGAGAATTGAATAAAATCTAGACAAAAAAGTGTGGAAATCCGAGAAGAATAGTTAACGCAGATACTGATCTAAACGAGATCAAAGCGGCGGCTAGTTAAATCAGAATATCTTAAGGGAATTGAGTCTTTACAAAGAAAATCCAAATACGGCAAGGCAAAGAAATCCCTAACCAGCAAGTTAATCTATAAGGTGATAGATTAAACTTAAACGGTCAAAGCCGGGTAATACCTGACATACATTTCAAAAGATATTAGACAAAATAATATATATTTAGAAATTTAGAGTTCAAGATTTGAGCAAGATACGTTTTAAAGGATACACAAAGATACTTGAGTAAAATTCAAGCTTTATTTTTTTATTATATATTAAATCCAAAACAGGTTTGCAGTGCGAAGTTAGGGAATACAGTGCTCAGTCGAATGTGAATTAATTCAATTTTCATATTTTCACTTTATTTCACAAACAATCATTTCAATTATGAAGCAAAGAAAAACTTTGAACTGTGAAAGTTGCCAATAGCTTCTGTCAATCCGTAATCAAAAGCCAAACTAAAACTTCTCACATTGCGACCGTTGCACGCGCGTGAACTATGACCTTTTAATGGCTCTTCGTCCAGACCATAAATACAAAAGAAAAGAAAAAGAAAAAAAAAGCGGAAAATTAAGTATTCAAATTCGCAAGCCGATGCGAACAGACGAAAGAACAACAAACGATGAGGGCTGATAATGCCGGCAATAAAACGAATGGCAACTGAAATCGTACAGAACTTCGAACTGGTAGTTGGCTGCGCTTTTAAGCCTTTTAAACTTCAATCAAATTTCTCAGGATTTGGCAGGCAGCAAACGGGACAACAACAACAACAACAGCAACTTCTGCCATAAGCCACGCTTTGGATCGAATACAACAACCAGAACAGAAAAGATTCCTCTAGTCGGGATTGCGCGAATACGAGTTACCCTATAGCCAGCGGCCCTCACATGCATTTGAATTTCCTCTTCTTTAAAAACAATTAATGCAGAAAAATACACAGACACAATCACATACCCTTCCCACTTTATACAGCGAAGCATTATCCCCATCACATTGAAACCTTTGATAATCGACATTTTAATTTCGTTGCTCTGAGCTGACAGTCAAACAGATAGACGGATATGGCTTAAACCAATTGGCAAATTATGCCGACAAAGAATATATCTAACATTTTTACCTTATGTGGTCAGAGATACCACCTTCTTTCTGTTACATACTTTTGCAGTTAACCAGAATACCTTTTCCTTGCTCATTTTAAATGGGTACAGGGTATATTAACAACAACAATAATAATAATGTTGTAATTTGAAGGAAAAGAATGCGTATAGCGAGAGTTGCGGGCACCTTTCTTTGAGCCGAGACGGCAACTTTGGGGTTTTTGAATGGGGGTGGGGAGGGGACTGTGATCGGTGGGGATTGGCAATGTCGATGATCCTGTGTGCGAATGTGTGTGTGTGTGTGTGTGCGCAATGAACCGACAGCTGGGTAGATGCCAGCACGTAAACGTTTCACATGCAGAGAGTTAACAGCAGCATTTGGATTTGGATGCCTGATGCTACCAAAATTACCAGACAGCCGACAAACCGTTGAACAACAATATGTTTATGGCTATGCGAAGCACCGAAAATACTTTGATAAAAGTCCACCGTAGCGGTAGAAGACCGTATACAAATTGGCTCCAGCCATTAGTCTCGAGAGCCAAGTTAAACGTTTTAGTGGCTGCGCTTAAGAGCGCTAAAGGTAATTTTTCACTTTGCTGCAGATTCAGTTTTTTTTTTTTCGTTTACGGCATCATAAAGCAGATCTCTCTAGCAGCAGTCTCCTTGGCGCACAGATTCCCACAATTTATGGCCAACTATTGAATGCGGTTCCATGGAATAAGTTTCCTGCCATCTATTTAGAAAACAATTCGATTAGAATTGACTTCTGTCGAGTGTTCCTTGTCTTTTCCTCCCCTCAGCTCAGCTCAGCTCCGATCAATAAAAATACTTTCACATCATATCCACGCAGAGATGGTTGGAAAATTGAGAGCGCTTCGATAACAACAATAAGCAGCATTAATTGTTTGGCATTGTGATCATCCAGCTGTCTAACAATGGGCCAGGGGACAATGGTCTTGAGTTTCCATGCGATTCCGACTCCTTCACAAGTGCCTGCGCTTTGTCAGTATTTTCACGCACTTTGTAAAGTGGTTAGATAATCCATTGTTTATGGCATCGAGAGAAGAAAAAATAAAACTAAAATAAAATAAAACGAAACCCCGAAAATGGGAAAAATGTTTCGTCATTTTGCCAGCCAGTTTGAAATCGAGTAAAGGGGAATTCGGTGCGGTTCGGTTCGCTTCGCTTCGGTTCGACACACAATTTGTAGTTACTTGGCAGACAGTCGGGCAACAGCAAACCATCTCAAGGTGCCCAAATATGAGTTTTGTGTATGGAACATGATTTGCTAATGTATTGTTCCACTTTGAAACAAATTAATCGCAAACTTATTGAAGAAACCGAACTAATGCAGCTACTGCGGCTGGAAAAGATTGTGTAGAAAATATAAGATTATTGAACCAATTGTAGAAATAGTTTTATTTATTATTTATTTTGTTATTTGATCGTTATAAATATTTTTTTAAACAGTCAGAGAGATATTACTTATTAAAACATTTTTAGAAATATTTGTTAAAAAAAAAAGTTTCTTACAAGAGACCAGTTACTATCATTTGCTGCTTGTTGGAATAATTCTATTTATAAATTGATATGTTTCAATCATTTGCAACACTTCAGATTATATATAATATCCTAATTGATAGCTGTGATGATATATGAACATATCTTTATTCAACTTCTCTAATTGATTGAATTTAATTTGATCGATCTGATTTCATTCCAATATCCCGGCAACCCTCTCTCTCTTCATAACCACCCCAAGCTCATCAATTTTGTTTGACAATCGCTTCGAATGCTTGTAAACCGAACCCATTAAGACCCATCCACAAGACCGAACACAATTCACAATTCAAGCTGAATGGATGCGCAACAATTGCATTTTGAGGCGTTTTAAAGAATAACAACAATAACTAAGCAAAACCCAACAGCAACAGCAACAGCAAAAGGAACGACAACGGCAGCAGTCGAGAAATGAAATGAAATCAAATGATGTGTATAAAAATGAAAATAATACAAAGATAAATAACAACAGCAACAACAGCAACAACAACAACAAAACTGGAAACAAAACCATATAATAATAAAAATCAAGAAAAATAACTACAAAAGCGCAAGGTATACGCTGTATCTGTATCTGTCGATGAGGCAGCCCGCTCGAGGGCGGGGGTGAGGGCGAGGGCGAGCTCGTATATGGTCTGGCTCTGGCGGCTCTGTTGCTGGCGGCGCTGCTGCTGCTGCTGCTGCCGCTGCTGCTGCCGCTGCTGCTGCAGACAAGCGGGAACGATGGCGACAGCCATGGACAACAACATGCGAGACTCTTAACCTTTGACGCCCGAACAATGAAGTGGTTAAAAGCAAGACATTAACACACAGACTTACAGGCAGCAAACATTGCCAGCAACAACAGCAACAACAACAATAGAGAGACTCAGACTCGGGCCGCTGTCGAGGTCTGGGCCTGGACCTGGGCTTGGGCCTGTGGCTGTGCCTGTGCCTCATAGAGCAGCTCGAGCTGTGCTGTTGGCTTGTAGCTCTTGAGTGGAATGACAGAAATTAGTGAAATTTATTATTGATATCCACTTGAATTTATAGAGCAGCGAACAAAAGGCGTTGTTCGTAGTCGTTCGAGTCGGAGTCGGAGTCCCCGCTCTACCTTTTTTTTTTCTCGTGACTTATATAAAGGTGCATCTTTGTGGCGTCTCCGTCTGAGTAGCAGCAGCAGCAGCTGCTGCAGCTGAAAAAAAAAGAATTGATGGCATTGCGTTGCGATCTAATGCGTGTGATAAACAGGTTCAGGTTCTGTTGCACCTAAGCGAGTAGAAGGTGTCGCTGCGTATAAATTATGAGTGGAGGAACAATAAAATGCACAACAGGCAGCAGCGCTAATAGTCGATAGATAGAAGAAGTTACCGCTGCGCTTTCTACAGCAGGGACTGAGATGGAGACGGAGAGACGCAGAGAGAGGGGGAATGAATAGAGATCGGGCAGAAGAGCTGTCTCAGCTTTATTGTGAAGCCACCCAGAATGGAGGCGGCGGTTGCTGTGGACAGCGACGACGACACCCGCAGCATCGATGCGATCGATCCAATCGATCCGATCGATCGATCGCATTTTTATAAAGTGTATTTTCCAGCAGTTCCGAGAAAACTTGAGCGCCGCACAATAGAGTTATTTAGAGGCCCAAAGTTATGGTTATTGATTTGAAATATCACACGATATGAGTAAGGAGTGCGTGTATGCGTTAAAATAACAGGGCCAGAATCATCTACTTCACGGCAGCGAGAGGGACCCCCGAACAGACTGGCAGGTTCTTGAGCGCACAAAAGCCGCCGTTGCACACACACAATACACACACGCACACACACACACACTTCAGGCTGGAGGCTTCAGCTCCAGTTGTTGCAGCCGCAGCGTCTTGAGTCTTCAGCCTTCGAGAGCTGAAGTGTTATGGGCGAGTCGCGAGCTCTTGACAGACCCTCGTGCTCGTGCCCTGTTTCAAATGTTCAGAAATTGTGGAACCTTTAATTAAACGGTGGCCTAAAATATGCAAACGAGTCGAGGCCGACGCTCGGCCGTATGCCAAGTCCAAGTCATAACTCATTTTCATTTTAAACCGAGGGGGGCTCTGGCAAGCGGGGGCAACGGAGGAGGCACCGTCGGGTACCGTCGGGGTACCGTCGGGGTACAGCCCATGGGCCACTTTGCATACTAAACGGCGCACGCCCCACTTTCAACGCATGCCGAAGACGCGTCTCAGCTCGGCTACAGCATCGTCTCCATCGTCGTTGTCGTCCTTCGGGCGCTTTTTCGGCAGTCAGGTGGGAGTGACCATGGATTTTTTTTTTCGTGGTGCGCTACCGAAAACAGAAACCGGCAGAGTTCTCCAGTTTTTCGCTTCAGCAGATTTGCATGCGCCAGTAGAATTTTGATTATGGCTTCGGACCGCAAGAAACTCATTTAAAATCGATTTATGCAAGGATTAAGATTCAGTTACTACTCCAAAGAATGGAGGAGAGAAAAGACCTGAACTCTGCTGCCCCTCGCCGCTTGCCGCTGTGGCATGTCCATCATGCAGCAGCAGTTGGCTGCAAGTTAAGAAATTAGTAAAACTCATTTTTGCATTTTTAGCCTCCGGGCTTAAACTTAATTCGGAAGCACAGCAGGAGGTTCTAAGTAAATAAATGTGCCTACCCGGCCTCCATTCGTTTAATTTGCATTTTATTGCACCGCAGCCTGGACTCTTGGAGCTGGGAAGTCTCGGGACACAGCCAATTAAGCGTATATTTGCCACGCTTTACAGCTTTGGACTGGACTCTTCCTGCCGTTGCGCTGCTCTACTTTGGCAAGGCGCAGCTAAAAATGATTAAAGGCCTTCCCGGTCCAGACAGCCTCCTATATTAATTTGTGTATTCGCTTTGTGTTCCGAGTGCCATCGTATCTCACAACAGCCCTGAGAAATTGAAAGTGAATGCCGAATGCCAGGCAGCAGGAAATGAGTTGCCAATAGAATAATCATAACGCACCATAGGGGGTGGATGATCCCACCACAATCGGGCTTAAAGCTGATCGCCGAGTCTACCGGTAGCTTAGACCACATACTACACATTTTGCATTATACATCCGGCTAGTAATAATGTAGGGCTTGGAATGGATATGGATCCTGCAAGATTGTAGGCAAACTCAGGGAAAGCAAGAGTCACCTATTAAGTAACCTATCCCATTAATAATAGTCGTTAAATGTAGGATAAACTTTAGAATAAAACAAACGCATTTGGAGTATGTTATCAAAAATCAGTTATTGTCTAAGTGACATTTTTTATTCAGGCAATTGAACAAGGAGGTTTAAGGCTGAGACAATGGTCTTAGGCGAAGATCTATTTGCTAATCAAAAAATGTGGGTTGATAGTTTCCAATAAGAATATATATATACTTAAAAAAATAAGATAAGTAATCAAGTGATGATGGCATGCAAATATCATAGTCTAAACTTAAGTAAAATGTCTCAACATAAAGATGATTCAAATAGACAAATATCTAAAAATCTTCTAGGAGGTGAAAAGATGGAGAGGACAGTATGCAAATAAACATTACTTTTCATTGTCTTATGCTCATTGTGAAGGAATTAACATGTGCTATTCCAGAATTTCATACTACAAATTCTGCTTCAATTCCTAAGCATTTTTTTATAAATGCCTAAATTTGCAACTGCTGCTAAAACCGGCAGCCGATTGCCTCTCTCTTTCTTTCCGTCTATCTTACTTAAAGCCTATGTATGTCATTTAGGGCGGGCCGATTACGATACGATACGATATCTTATCCCAGTTGTGTGTAAATGCAATTTGAGGCGTTGTTGGTGTCGATGTTGACCCAATGCGAATGCGAAATTGAAATTTATTTCTTTCTCACGTAGTCGCCTCTGTCATTAGCTCAATCAGAGAGACGTTAAATCGCGTGCATCGATTTGGCCATTTAGGCTCTTGGCCAACAAACGAGACGAGCATTTGCCCAGTGAGCACGAATGGCGCCCCATTCGGCCAACCAATACCAATAACGATTCTGATTCCGCTGCCGATGCCAATTCCGATTCCGAGCACGGTATCGGACACATGTCCACAGCGGCTGATGCCCATTCCAAACGGTCAGCGATGCACAACGAAATGCTGCGGCTGTCACTCAGTTGGTGAGTGTTTCGAGTAGGGGGCTGAGTGCACTCACATCAGTCAGTCAGTCAGCCCGTCAGTCAGTCCGTCAGTCAGTCCGTCAGTCCGTCAGTCAGTCCGTCAGTCAGTGACTGCAGCCAGTCAATAATTCGGCAGTCGTCGTTCACTTCCTTCTACCTTCTGAGCAGCGAGAAAATTGCAAACAATTTTCCATTGATGTTGTTTTCTTGTTTTTTTTTGTATTTTTAAAGTTGTTTCATTACAATTTTTTACTCGGTTTGTTTGCAATTAATTGACATTCGCAATCCCCAGAATCGCAATCGAGCCCGAACCACTCTCTCGGCTCTTATTTGCCCATGCAAATTATATTGAACTGATTCCCACGACGCTCTTGGCCAGATGGCTTCGATTTGAATTCGGGCCGTCCTTAGTTGATTGTTGTTGTTGCTTTAGTTGTTGTTGTTGCTGTTGTTTCTGGTTGAAGGCATCCAAATCATTCAGGGAATGTTTGAGCAGGGGCGGCAGAAATGTTTCACATTCACACTGTTCGACTTCGGTTAGTTGATTGTTCGGTTTTCCTTGGCAGATAATCACTTTCGACCGGGGCCAGAACATTTCAAAATTGGCAACTGAAATGAATTAAACATTTTAATTTGATTGGCGTTTAGAGAATTTGTTTTAATTGGCCAGGCATTAGATGTCTAGAGAAAACAGCTAAAAGGAAAGACAGCATGCAATTGGAACAGGATTGAATAATAAAATTAAGAAAATTATAGACGAACACTACGAAACCTAGTAGATACTTACAAAAAGGAAAAGGAGTATAAGAGCTTAGCAAATATGCTATAGACAAAAATGACCAAAAACTTAATGCAGGAAATTAATTTACTTACATACTGATTCTCGTTACACTATTCTAAAGAACCATACCTAATCCAAGACCTGTACCATGAATATCAATTTAACTGTTGCTTATGTTTCTGTTAGATGACTTTGATTGAAAATCAAATTCAAGTCACAAGAGCCTTTCGAGTCTTTCTAATAACAATTCCCTACTCCAAAATCTTCCAATTCGTCAACACTTTTGTTTGCTTAAGATCTTTGACCATGCGCCAACTCATTTGTTGTTTGCTCACTCGCCTCGAGAACCATGTCAATACACAACAACAATAATATCAACAACAACGAGAGATCTCAAGTATCTGAGCCCAAAAATTGACGAACGGCGCAGATCAAAGAGCAAAATATTAATATTTCCTAATCCATTGTAATTATGATTTCTCCTCCATTGTTTGTCACACAGAAATGTAACCTTCAAAACAGCCGGCACAAGGCCCGAGGTCTTTTTCAATAGATCATATTACCAAGTGAATATGTCAATTCCTCACGAAAAACGATAAGAGATCTGCGTCACAGCTCCGAAAGAAAAAAAAACGTTAAAAAAGTTGTAAGGCAAAATACCGAAGAACTAATTGTAACCACAAAATCGACTACCAGGCCAACGAATTCAACAGAAAACTGAACTGACAAAAAATAAAAATAAAAATTAAACATAAGAATAATAATGATAATAACGCGAAGAAGTAGACAAAGAAGTGAGGCAGCGCCTAATCTTGACGGCAGCGTCTGGGACCGGCAGAGGGATTAGTTGGTCCAATCAGCGGCAACGCCTGCGGCTAATGAACGGCGGCTGCTGCCACTGCCGGCTGTTACCGGGAATTGGGAATTGGGAACGGGGAACTCCGGGGCGTTCGCCCCTGGTAATTACTCGTACCAATAAAAAGTCACGCCAAACAATGGCAACGGGTCGGCAGGGACCAGGGCCAAGATCGTCGATAGGCGATCTTATCGCTGCCATATATGTGTGTTATGACTTTTACTTTTCTTTGGCTGCCCCGCGCCGTGCCAAATCAAAGTAGATTAAAACCTCGATCGGAAAGATGACAAGCGGCCCAACAATCAAAATCAAATTACGAGACAGCAATCAATAATTTGACGCGACAAATCACATTCACAAAGGTAAAGGGCATTTACAGGGATCCCACATTGAAAACAAGGTAAAGAATTCTGAGAGTCGCATGTTAAATAGACTCAATAAAATAAAAGTATGGTTTTATTGGACTAAATACGGAAATTAACGAGTACTCTCCCACTTTTCTTTCTCCTCTTCAGTAAGGAATGGAAATCTGGGACATCCACCCCAAACGGAACCTCTTGCACTCGCCGTGATTATAAGTCCACCTGTACTCTGGAACCTTACAAAGGCCTTTCCTCTCACTTGGGCGACAACAACGTTCTAGGAGACAAGCGTTAGGTATAACTGACACATGATCCAAATCCAATGCAATAATACTAACCATCCCTCCATTCGTTCTCCTCCGTAGGTTTCTCAGTTATTGTGCCATTTGTGGCCTCATTTGGATTTCCCGAAGTTGGCACATCAGTTGGTAGCTGGGAATTTGGAGGTATGTGCTCACTCAATGTAGTAGCATTTGTAGATGCATCTATCTTCGGACTTTCTAGAGGTTGCATACCTGTCAATGTAGTATTATTCGTAGTTATATCTGGGTGGGTTGTATGGGTCTTACACGCTCTGGTTCAGCTGGAAGGACAGGGTATTCAGCTTGTCTTTCGTTCAATTGGCAGTTTAGACAGTCTTCGTATTAGGCAATTTCAAAACAACGTTCTCCTTGAAATGGAAGATTTTAAGGTATGGGTTCATCCACATACGAAAAGATTATTCCTACCGTTCTACAGTTCTAACAATTCCAATCCCTAGGAAAATAAAAGTCGCGATTTTCATGTCTGTTCTCTATCGAGTTTATTGAGAAAGTGCAGAGATATGTACTTGGAATGGAATAGAATCCGCTCACATCTGGGGCTTGAAATATAATTAAAGTCAAAGCAAACGTAGCCAATTGCAAATTAGTTCCAGAAGATTTCATGTAAATATATAACCGATCGGTCACAAGTACTTCAGTAGTTCCAGATGAAACTCTACCGGGTAATAACGTAAAACGTGCAACTCCCAACTTCTGATCTAGCTGAAATTTCCTGAGCGCGAGTAAAACTCAGTTTATATGTAGCTCAGTTAGAGCAAGACTCATTGCTAGTCGTGTTGAAAATAATCGTGTAACTTGTCCAGGGATATAAATATATTTTAAATGACGACAACAGAAGATAAAATCTTCTATTCTAGCCAAAGTTCTCTGTACTCAATATATATTATAATATAATATTGTCTTTTTCTTTTCGGTACTAGACTTCGAAGATTGCACATCATGAAGACCAATCTACTGGCTTGCTGGATCGAAATCTATAAAAAAACATATTTCAAATTTCAGTTCCGAGACGGACTGATAGAAAAGAATAGCTCGAATCAGCCGTTCATCCTGATCATGTACATATATTCTTTTATTATAAAATTAATTATTAATAATATTTTTGGTAATTAACATTAGTAACAAGGCTATATGTCTATTGATGCTTAAGTACTATTTCTTAACTAAACAATTTATGTAGGTCATAAAGGTATCATTGAATTTGATCGTCTTATTATGTTCTCTTCCGTTTGCTAAGCTGTCCCAGTTTTCTTGGCGGCTTCCTCCTGCTCAAATTCCTCGATGCGACGCTCCAAGACGTCCACATCTAGCCACATGATCGAGGCCTTGTGCCAACTGGGCGGCGGATCGCTGTTAATCTCATCTAAAAGCTTCTTGAGACGAGCTTTATCCACGTCAATGGCCATTTTTCGCCTTTTGAGCATCGTGGCCTTTTGTGGATCTATCGGCGTATCTGGCTTGCCGCGCTTTAGCGAAACTTTTTGGGTCTGACAGGCCTTATTCCTGGTGAGTCGCTTCTCTCCATCGCCGGCAGGAGAGTCCTCCTTGAGTACCGGCCCCTTCTCCTGCTGAGCCAATTTGGCCTTGGGTCGCAGTACATCTTCCGAACTATTTGCCTTTATCGCCTCTGTTTGTGTGTACATCGACCTAGTCTTTGGCACTTTTATGGGGATTACATTTGCAGGGTTAGCTCGTAAAAGATTTGTTATAACCGCGTTCTTGTGAGCCTTACGCTTCGGAGGCTCCATGGCGAGGACTTTACAATTCTTTCTATAACAAATTCGTGCACAAAGTCCGTATCCTTTTTGTTAAACGAATATATTTTCATATTTATCACATGAAATATTTACCAGAATCCTTCTTGATTTTTTGAAACTTTAAACTTTTCAATGTACTTCTCACAATCACAGTCACAGCAATGATTGCGAATGGCTTTCCATTGTCGCCCTGCATGAAATTCACAACAGGAATATCAAGGCTACCCTGATGCAATAAATTCTACTTAATTTAAGGAGTATGCATTTGTATGAAAGTGTCTTACCCGGCTGTGACCAGGCCAAGTTTTCAAATTTCAGACATAGCTTGTCTATCCATTACCATTATCCTCTATGCTCCACCCAGGTACAATGAGTTTGTAATATCGCGCATTTCCCATGGTTTATCAAGAGCCTGACTTAAATATGTGGAGCTTGGAGAAGATTTGTACTTTCAGTTGGAAAACAACAGCAAGTATTTCCCGGCATTGCTCGGGTCAAAGTTTTTTTGCTTCCCTAAAACAAATTTTGTGAGGCTGCAATTAAAATAGGGACTTTTACGATAATTCATCAAATAAATATCTATATATTCATGATCTTGATCAACTGCCAATCTCAAACAAGATGATTGAAATATGTCTCATTTAAATACTGGCTGTTTACGGAAAGAGAATGTAGCTTATTTGTTTTATTTAGTGGTCTAAATACATTAGTTCCATGAAGCGAACAAATTAGTTCCAGTTAAATGTTGGGAAATATAAGTGGCAGAAATATGCGATCCATTGTAAGTATCTAATTTATCGTCGAATATCATGAGACTTGTTAAACTAATTTTTATTTTCCTTTCCATTTACATTGTTGGCATTGTCCAGGCTGTTGGTAAAACTACTCAAAATAGCTCTTTCATCACATGAAACTATATTATTAACATTTATTCTAGATCGATGTCTTCAGGAACCAGAAGTAGCAGGGGATTGCTATGCCTACCATATTAGGTATTCCTACTATCCAAAAAAAAAGAAGTGTAAAATGTTCATCTATGGTGGATGCCCAGGAGAGAGCGATAATCGTTTTCGATCACGTAGCCAATGCGAAAATCGCTGCAGCGGAATGTGAATTGAATTTGTGGACCGGGAATTTAAGAAGAGATATTGCAAAATATTGCTACAGCTAACTTTATTTAAAAAACAAATACATAAGACCCCTTTTACCCATATTTAATGGGTTCAGGGTATAAAAAAAGGCGTTGAATTTTGTAAAAATTGTAAGTTAAATGATTGTAAATAAGTTTCGCTTTAAAAACAACTTCTAAGATAATTAATATTTATCATTTTGAGTCTTTAGCTGTTATTATTGGTCTTCTATTTCTTCAAGTTGACAGGGAATTTATTTAATCCAAAGTTCTAATTGAAAACTTAAAATTTTCAGATTATTCCCCTCTGGTTGGTATTCCTTCCATTTTATTTTAATTTCTTTTTAAATATGTGAGAAATGATTTTGTTGTTATTGCATCTTTGAAATTAAATGCAGAGATCTCTTTATTTATCATTTCTCTTTTTTATCTTAAGTCGTAGAAATGTGCGATCGATTAAGTGCGTGTCCCGTTACTTTCGAGCAGATCCTCAACCTGCGTTACAGAGCTGGGTATTTGTAGGGCTTTGCGACATTTTGTTTGGCTCATGATCTTCAGTGAAGTTTCTGTCCGCTTGTGGCTGGTAATGTCCCTGTCCCTGTCCCTGTATCTGTCTCTGTCCCCGTGCCCGCTGCCGCGCATGTTGCTTGCTATGTACAACATCAAGTTTTATCGCTGATCGTGATCATGTAATTCCAGCCCACGCATGCGCGCACAGCGTTAAGGAATCAAGTTTAGCGCATTCTTATTGCCGATCTGAATGCGCGCCTTTCCCTGTGACAGATGGTGTAAGGCTGCAAGGCATTCCCGTGCCCAGACCCAGACCCAGACCCAGACCCTGGCCCAGGCCCAGGCCCAGACTGAGACTCAGACTCAGACTCAGACGTAGTCCGAAGAGTTTTGCGGATTGACTGGTTTTTGCTAGGGCCGAGCGTTCTATATGTAAACTGGTACTTGATATTTGAAATCATGTACCATTTGCCTTGAGACGCAGCCTCAGCCTCAGCCTGGATGTGGATCTGATCGTCGATCGTGTCCCTGACAAAGCGGCACAGGAAACGCGCATTTAAAAGCGCGACTATCGAAATATAACGACATTAAGCTGCCCCAGAGCGAGACACAGAGAGAAAGAGAGAGCGTGATAGGGGGGGGGGGGGGGGAGGAGAGAGAGAAAGGGAAAGAGGAAGCAGGAGAGCCATTTAAAGGAAGCTTGTGTCAATACGAAAGCCCCATGGAGTTTACCTTGGAATGCAGTCGCTGCGATCGCTAATCTTTTGAAGGCGCCGACGCCGCAATGATCATCATAAGCGAACGTTTGGGCGCACTAAGCGACATAATTGCTACCGTGGGACGAGCACAGACTCTGCAGACGGTAATCCACAATCCGCAAAACTCCTTACTGGACTGGCCCCAACCGTTTGGTGCTTGGTGATCCCTGCTGCTCTGTGGCCGATCATTACGAGACGCGCTCCTAATGCGCTCCAATCAAACACACACGAAACGAGCGTATGACATGTTTGTGCATTATTAATCATGATAATATCTGTATAAATGGTAGAAAACTGTGCAGTGCCCCCTCTGCTCCAACCGCAGCCACAAATCCGAGGCCAAATTGCAATTTAATGCAAAAATAAATTGCAGCGCCGACTGCAAACGTGAAGCTGAAGCTGGAGTTGGAGCTGGAGTTGGAGCTGACCAACCGGCAGCCGGAGCAGGCAGCTCCCATGATTATTGGTCATTTACTTGCGCCGTTTAGCGCATTAAAATTCAAGCGGCCTCTGCGCATATCTGAGCATCCGTGCAGCTCCGAGTCTGTGAGTCCCACAGTCAAGCTTTATGCATACAGATATAATTGACAGTTGAAAACCTGGACGTAAAGTGTAGCTCCAATCCCAAGTTCGCGTCTCGGTCGTGCTCAATTCTGGGCGTTGGACTTGCAGCTTTGACTCTGGCTCTGTCCTTGTCCCTGTCCCTTTCCCAGCAACGGCAACTGCAACTGCAACTTCAACTGCAACGGCAACTGCAACAGCATCTGCATCTGCATCTGTGGGGCGTGTGCTTTGGTATGGCGTGCGAGCAAAATTATTCCAATGAGTTGTTGCTGCAGCTGCCAGGGGGCAGGTGCTGGTGTGCAACACACATTCGTTGGGGGTAGCGCCCAGGGCCCAAGAAATCAACGCGTTCGCTAATGGGCACTAGCTAGCAGGTAAATACACTGTAAGAAATATTTGAAAACCCAAAAAATAAGTCACTAGCCATAATTCTTAGTACATTTTCATACGACCCTTAAAATATTTGACCCTAGCGAAACTTGTTGTGTAAAGGAAAATAAATCCTTTGGGAATGGGAGAAAATGTATACTGTGAAAAAAAGAAAACATATCACAACTGCTATACAATTAAGTGTCACCTTTAGGAGACAATTACGATGATGAATTACAGTCGTTAGTTTATAATCCAGATTTGTGAAGCTCTCAGTGGAGCTCTCACTATTTTTGCAATGTAATTATTTTATTATACCCTCAACCCATTAAAAATGGGTAAAAAGGGTATAATGGTTTTGTGCAAATGCATGTAACAGGCAGAAGGTAGCATCTCCGAACAAATAAAGTGTATATATTCTTTGTCCGTCTGTTCGTATGTTTAAACACGTCGATCGCAGATACTATAAATGCTAGGGAGTTATATGTAGGTCCATAGTTTCTGATGATCGATAACTTGTCCGATTTCCAAGCAAGCGATAAGAGTCGATATCGAAATCCCGTTTCTTGAGCAAATTTCTCGACTTTTAAGAGCAAGATAATAATATACAAAATATTTCTTTGAATGGTTGTTAATAAAATGTACTAACTTACAATATTAGTATTAGTATTATTAGTAAACGTAGCAATCAAAATTAGTAACTATATTAGTTGTTAAATTAAGGTAGCAATCAAATAAATAAATTCGAAATGATTTTTATTCGGATTCTACGCCAATCCTCGATTCAAGTCCCTGACTACGAACGTCAAGTGCAAGCAACGACTTTAACTATCGCTCAAGGCTATCAACGATTTGTCTGAATTCTCAAGCAAGTTCTCGAAAGGCGCAGTCAAACAGGCTGTATTCCTGAATTTGGGTAAACAAATAAAGATATACTACATAATTGCTAACAAAAAAATAAAATAAAATAATATAGCAAAATGTAGAGAAAGATGACAACCAGAAAGAAATGAGAAAAGTGAAACTCATAAACAAATGCAACAACAAAATTGCAGAGCTAAGTAAATAATCAAACAAGAAATGGCAAATTATGTGCGCCGCAGCAACAACTTCTACAACAACAACAGCAACAACAACAACAACAATCGCAGCGATTACTCCTAAAGCAATTGCGAAAGAACACCCACTCAAAAATAAGCGTTTGCCATATTAACAACAACTGCGAGCGCCAATAACCGGTTAGCATGTTCTGTGTGTGTGTGTGTGTGTGAGAGTGATCGCGCTCTCTGCAGCGATGTGCGTGTGTGTGTGTGTGTGTGTGTGTGTGTGTGTGGGTGCGCGCTCAAGAGATGGGCCACACTTAGCACACAAGCACAAAACGTGTTTCGTTTGCACCTACTAACACCTGGCTGCGCTCACGCGTGCTCTCACGCTCAGCGCTCTCTTTTTCTCCCTCTCTCTCTATCGCTCGCTTGTGATCATGTGTCTGTTGCGCTCTTGCACTCGCGCCTGCTCTCACTCAGCTGGCTTGAGCTCGAGTGCTCTGTGAGAGTGTGCGTGTCAATGTGTGTGCGTGTGTTGGTGAGAACTGCTTTGGTCAGGCGAAACGGCAACAAGTGAGCGCAGGTCCAGGTCCGCGCGCCGCTCGCAGAGCAATGGACTTTTAGTTATTCCGTGATCTTTTACCAATATTGTGCAGCGCACACGGCACGACGGCTGATCGCAGAGCAGCAGCAACAGCAGCAACAAATCCGCCCCTGGTTTTAAGAAACACAAATTAAACGCATATTTATTTACGGAAGTGTCAAAACGGAAACGCTGAACTTAACCTCAATAAACGCCCCCTTCCCAAGCCGGTTGCCGTTTGTTGATCGAGCATAGATTTGCAAAAATTCGAACAGTGCTTTTTAACTTTCCAATTGAAACGGTTTGTGACAATAACGCCCACAAAAATATTTCTGTTTTCTTTTGTGGGCCAAGCTCTTCAAAGCTGTGCGCGTGTGCGACGTCATTTGATCCACTCGTTGGAAGTGTGCCCCCCTCTACCCCCCTCCACTACCATCGCCAGTGCTGCCAATTGGTTTTGTTGTTGTTGTTTGTGTTTTTGTTTTTATTTGGCCTGTGTGTTGCTGTTTGCCGTTTGGAACGTCAAATTCGATTTTTATGACTTTTGAAAGCGTGACTAAGGCGTGATTTATGATGGCGTGTGGTTTTTAATATTCATGTGCAAAGTCAAAAGCCAAAAAGCAGCCACGAACCAACCGCAGCAGCCACTGGCCACAAGAGGCGCGCGCACTCAACCTGCGTAGGTGCGCCAAACAATAAAAAAATCAAAGGCAGCACCAATAGCCGGACAACAACCACAACAGAGACAACAACAGGCGTTGCATCTTTGTGCCCACGGGCCAAGTGCTGGCTCGATATCCTGCTGTGTGTGCGTGGATCAGTGGATCAGTGTTTTGGGCTTTTTATGGACGCAGCGAAGCAATTGACTGCCGCTGCTGCAGCTGGCAAGCACGACAACAACAACAGCAGCAGTAACAACAACAACACTATGCAAACGGTGCAACAACAAAGCAATACAACAGCAACAACAACAACCGCAACAACAGCAACAGCAGTAACAGCGACTGCGGCCGAGACCTGCAGTAAGTCACATGCGCTAGAAGCGGCAGCAACAATTGCAGCCAGCAACAAGAACACCAGCAGCAGCAGCAACAGCAACAACAACAACAACAAGCAGCAAACAGACATGACAACAACAACAGCAAACATCGAGCAGCAGCTCAAAAAAACAGAAGTGCAACCGCAATCAGCAGCAACAGGCAAAGCAGCAACAAACTCAACTGCAACAGCAGCAGCAGCAAGCGCATCAGCAACTGTTGCCGCTGCTGCCACTAAATCAAGTGCAGCAGCAATGGCCGCTGCCACAGCAACAGCAGCAGCAGCCACCAATGACCTGGCAGCAGCTGCTGCTGTGGTGCTCTCGCTGCAGGGCACCATGGTCAGCAGCCTGCAGCAGGCGGCCTTGCTGCCGGCCAATTCGGCAGCAGCGGCAGCGCTCAATTTGCAGGCGCTCGAATCCTATTTGGCGCTGCAGCGCCTCACTGGCAAATCGGATGTGTTTCGCTTTAGCAGCAGCAACAACAACAACACTAGCAATGGCAACAGCAACAACAATAGCAATGGCAGCAACAACAACAGCAGCAGCAGCGGCGGCAACAACAACATCAGCAACAGCAACAACAACAGCGATGCTGAACAGAATGCAACATTGCCAACGCTCATAGACATAGCCAGCATTGAGCTAAAGTCGAGCTGCTCCTCGAGCGCCTCAAGCAACTCCACGGCTGTGGCCACTTCGCCCAACGCCAACAGCAACACCAACAACAACAATGCTAGCAGCAACAGCAGCTGCAACAACAACAACAGCAGCAACAGTAACAACAACAACAGCCACAGTAATAGCAGCTCCTCAAGCACATCCAAGTGCATTCCACCACTGCCCTCAATTAGCACCGTGAGCGCCGCTGTGGCCGCTGCTGCTGCCGCTGCCGCCGCTGCGGCCAATCAGCAGGCGGCACTGGACTGTGCCACAGCCGCCGAGTTGGCAGCCGAATGCGATTTGCCGCTACTCGACGGCGAGGATGCCTTGTCCTTTGAGGCCGGCGACCTGGACAGCAGCTACGGCAGCTTCATCTTCAATCCGAGCAGCTTCGGCGCCACGGAAACGGACACCACGCTGCACTCGCTGCAGGCGACTATGTACCAGGACAAGCTGAGCGTCATGGCTGCGGCTGGCGGCAGCAGCAGTGCGGAGGATGCGGCAAATGGCTCCACGGCAGCGGCAGCCCAGCGCTCGAAGAAGCAGTTCATTTGCAAGTTCTGCAATCGCCAGTTCACCAAGTCCTACAATCTGCTCATCCACGAACGCACCCACACGGACGAACGTCCCTATTCCTGTGACATATGCGGCAAGGCCTTCAGGCGTCAGGATCATCTGAGGGATCATAGGTAAGAAATCAACAAGCAAAGCCAAGGCCATGGCAAATAGCCAGCCAATTGCAAAAAGAAACCTTTTCAAAACTTAACGAAACTTTAGAATACCAATCGAAACTACTCGAAACGTTGCCAAACTCTTCCAAATCGAAACGAAACTTGAACAACCTCAACGAAACTTAATGAAACTTCCGATTACTTTGTTTTGTTTAAACTTGCTTTTATTAAAAAAAAATTAGAGAAAGATTCATAAATTAATAAAGATTAAAATAACAATTTGCAGAACTTTAAGCTCTTTCCATTAATTTTTCTGAGGTAACTCAGCCCTGGTAACCTTATAGATTATCTATCTAGCATATTCGGGCATTATCTCTACTACCTTTCGGCTTTTTCAATCAACAATCGATTAGCTTTTTGACTTATAAATAGTCAGATAAAAATTTAAATTTAGATTTGAAATATTCAGTATTAATTTTAAGCGAATATACTAATCTTAAGATTTTTAATACCATGAGTTCTCTCTCTGCTTTTTCTATCTTTTCCGCCACAGATACATTCACTCCAAGGAGAAGCCCTTCAAGTGCGCCGAATGTGGCAAGGGCTTCTGCCAGTCGCGCACGCTAGCCGTGCACAAGATTCTGCATATGGAGGAGTCGCCGCACAAGTGTCCCGTTTGCAATCGCTCCTTCAATCAGCGCTCGAACCTGAAGACGCACCTACTCACCCACACGGACATCAAGCCCTACAATTGTGCCTCATGCGGCAAGGTGTTTCGGCGCAATTGTGATCTGAGGCGCCACAGTCTGACGCACAATCTGTCGGCCACGGGCGGCATAGGCGGCGGCTTGGGTGATCTATTTGGCAGCAGCAGTAACGGTTCCAGCTCCGATCTGGGCCTATCGATGGTCCTGCCCAGCCCAACAGGCTCCGGAGCAGCTGCCTCAGCCACCTCCAGAGACCTGGTTGCCGTCAGCGATTGAGCTCCTTTCAAAAAACGAAGCGTTCTCAAAATCTCATTTGCAGCTCTCAACAATTCGAATCCCTCCACAATGTGTCTGATCTGTGTTGCTCGTACTCGTGGCCTTTAAGTTGCTTTCAGCTTACAGCATTTAATTTAGTTTTTAGCTTGTGACTAATTGTGGTTAAGCTAATGATATTTCTAGCTGGTAATTTATTGGATATTTGAAACATGGATATATATCGAAAGTTTGACTTTATTTGGATATACTTACTATCTAGAGAATTAAGTAAATTGTGGACTTTTATCGTACTATCGAATAAATGATATAGTTTAATAGAAATACCTATACAAATAACTTTTTTATTCTTTAGACTTGGATCACAATAGTCAATAACCTACCCTCTCAATGTTAATAATGATCATGCAAAAGAAGATGGAAAATGAAACCCCAACAGTTTCATCCCTATTTAAGAACTTCGAAAACAAATCATTACCTAATGATCATTAATAATTTGGCTGACTTCTTAATAGCAACCATCTCTTGCGAGAAAGAGAAAGAATAATCATTAAATTAACCCTCTTAATATGAAATGGCCAAGATATCTCCAGAAAGAGTTGATCGTACACAAAAAGAATAGAATAGATGGAGAAAGTTTCGCAGGCTATTCCAAGTAAAACTCTATAGCTTGAAAAAAGGAATCGAGCTACAAAATGTAAAATTAGGATTTCTTTAATTTAATTATTTCTTCGGGTCAATTTCCAGTGTATTCTCGAGTGTTCTAAGTGCTTCCTGTTGCGCACCTTTTACATCCCGTTCTGACCCCGTTTACATGCCTCCCACCCCGCCTGGCCTGGCCTGGCCTGGTCTGGTCTGGTTTCTCACATGTAGTTACATTGTTTGCCCACTTGTAGCAAACGAGAAATCAAATATTTGTAGCGATGTTTATCGCTCGAGTGCCAACAAGGGCAATTAATGTACCATTAAGGTGTGCACACTCATTCCACCCGGCCAAACAAGCCTTTGACAACTGGAAAAACAGACGGGTCTGAGACAAAGCGACTACTCGCACTTTCCCACCAGTCTTTCTGGAGAGGCATTCATCGCTCGAACGCCTTATCGCCTAGCCAAACAATGTAGAACAAGCCAACGACATGAATTGTGGAGCAGGCGCTATCACCGCAGGCCGCCCACCCAGGTGACGACTAGAGCCTGTGCAGCTGGCTGGCAGGCTGGCCACAAAGTTAACACAATATTTTTATGATCTGACTGACTACAAAACAGAGATGCGTCCAACTTGGCCAAGTTCAAAAGCGCATGCCGACCTCAGCCCCTAACGACCAGGTCGGCAGCGCTCCATCTCAGGTTGCCGTCTCTTTCGGCATTTGGTTAAACGGATCAATGTGAAGCCGCCTGTGTCGACGTAGTTGCACTTCCTGCGCCAGCTTCAACAAACCAATTACAACGATCAAACAACAATTATGGGTACCACAGCTCTTGACCAGCCCAGCTCCAAGCCCCGCAACAGTCCTTCCACTCCCAATGCAGACTCTGTGGCAACAGTTAAACACGAACTGCGCGCGCTGCTCTCTGCAAATATTTGCGCGGATATTGTTCTATTCAATGGAACAAGCACCGAACGAGACATGTCCCACGACAACGACACCAACAACGACACCAACAACGACACCAGCAACGACAACGACAACGTTTGGGCCATTAGCCAAAGAGCTGTGCAGACTCCAGCTGGAGCTGGAGCTGGAGTTGCTCTTCCCTCTGCCTGGTTACAGTTTGAAGCAGCGTCTCTGCGAATTGCCGGCAATTTCACACTTTATGCGCGACGGCTTCATTTCCACTCCAGCTCCAGCTACAGCTCCAACTCCAGCTTCGAGCCCGGGCAGTTGGTGGCGCGTGCGGGCGGGCGGGGGAGCGAGCGGGCGAGCGAGCGGATGTTTAAACATTTAACGCTGGGCCCCCTGGGCCTGGGCCTGTGCCTGTGCCAGGGGCCGGCCTGTTGCCGTATATTGATGGGAAAATTATGAAATTCATTGTTTGTGTTTGACTAATAATTATGACAGCAAACGCATTGTCGTCATAAAGCCACCATGTGCTGCGGCAAGGGGCAAGCCAGGGGCATGGGCGAGGGGTAGACTAGGAGTGAGCGCACTAAATTTCGCTTTGAGGTTTCCGCAACGCCCCATTGACAAAGTCAGTCCCTGCTCGGACGCCAAACGCTCGCGCACCGACTAAACTCTAATAAGCCCATCACTAAACAGCAACAACAACAACAACAACAACCGGCGGCAGCAACAGCAGTTCGATCTGCAACAGCAACAACAACTATAACTACAACAACAATGTTGTCTAGTGTTGAGGCGTGGCAAGTTTTTGGCTTGGTTTGGTTTAGTTTGGTTTCTTTGAAGTTTCTCGCAAGAGAGTTGAAAATATTTTCGTTGTGCTTGTGAAATTTTGTTGCGTTTCCCGGAACCAACGCAAAAAGCGGAACGTTCTTGTTGCTGATGTTGTTGTTGTTGTTGTTGTTGCTGTTGTTGTATTTGGGTTTTGGGTGAATGGGAATGTAAATGTCATGAGGCTTACTATATGCCCGTCTGGCCTGGCCTGGCCTGGCCCGTACCCGTACCGGCCAGTTAGTTGTCGGCACCATTTGCTTTATGATTTGATGTATGTGTGTCTCTGGCCAGAGGAGGAGGCCCCACCAAACCCGTCAACAACTGACGGCACCTCAATAGGGAACGAATCCATGTTTGCACAGCGCTGATGTACACCTTCTCCCCTCTTTCTCTCTCTCCCTCCCTCTCTCTCCCTCTCTCTCCCACTCAGTCTGTCTCGCTTTTGGTTGTCGCTCGGACCTCTAGTCCAGCCGCAGTCCGTTTTCCCCGACTTTGAGTTTGACGCGTTACTGCGCCAACGTTTGACGAAACGTAAATTATGCGGCGTTCTTGTGCCTAATTAGGTGTCGTATCGTAAACGTTTTTTATATATTGGAGGCACACACACCAAGCTAGGGGCCAGACCGAGGCAGACGCGCCCCAGTGACAACACGTTAGCGTCTTGTTCAGGCCACAAAGAAGATGTGGAAAGTGGCTGGGCCAAAGACTTAGACATGACTGTTGCATGCCGCATAATTCTTAACAAGGAGTCTATTGGGGGTATTTGTGCATTCCATCTGTAACCGAAGGTTGCGCGAGGTTTATCATAAGATCAAAACGGGTTCCAAAACTGAGCTCTGAATGAACCAAGTGCAAAGATACCAAGGTTTTCATGATCGTTTATTCCATAAAGAAGGAGTAAAGGACTTATGTATTGCTGGAACTATGCAAACTGTTTTCTCAATCTTAAGCTGCACCTTTTGATCCGTCCAATTAAATTTGATCGAAAACCAATCTGATTTATGGACTTGTTTCCTCTAGAGCACAAGAACACTCCAATAGCACGAAATATGAACGTTGGATTTTCTTAAAAGGATGTAAAGTAAAGAAAAGATACATAGCTAAATTTTCCAAATGTTTAATGTAGAAATCTTTTACAGAAGTCAATATGAGTAATAAGTTTATATAAATTGTTAAGTACAATGGGCGTCTCCTCTAGATTAGGCAGTTCTCTTAACCTTAACTTATCTCTAAGATAAAGATTTAACAACAACACATTGCGAAATTCATTAAAGCACTTTCATCTCCAAAGAATATCATTAAATGTAATATATTCTACGCTCTTTAGGAATGTTTATTTTTGGATTATTATATATTGATAATTTTAAGTTTCCTGAAATATATCTGAATCCCTTTAATTTGCAAGTAGTACTCTCCTTTTTACACTCAAGAGACAAGTTTTTAGGCAAGATAATAAGCAAATGTCAAGGAAACACAATATAGCATTACCCTTCAACACAATATGTTGTCTTCCCTTTTTTATACTCTATTACCATTTGAGGAGGACCTCTCTTTGGACAACTTCTTTTTTAATTCCCTAACTGCAAGTCTGCATATATTTCTTCAAATTGCCGCCGCCAAACGACCATAAAGAATGGGAAGCACAATTTCTGGAACTGGCAGCCAATGGCATGGAGTCCCTGGAAACCAAGGGGTACGGCGCGGTACGGGCCAGAGAAGAAAAGCTGCCGAAACTCGTGCAAGTGAATAGATACCCAGTGCTTAGGCAGTGCTTATAGCAAGGCCTCGAAGAGGTAATTAGATTTTATTGGATGGTGTGCGTTATGCCGACGCCTAAGCTGGGCGGGGGGTAGCTGGAAGGCCAGGCGGGTGTGGCACAGTCTCGTCAGAATGGTAATACCAAGGCATGCATACTCATGCCCGACAAATATATATAAATATATATATATATATATATATATGTATAGTCTGTGTGTATAACTCTTAAATATGTATATACCCTATAACTGTTGCGCCTTGATGCAGCCGACTCGGTCGTTGAGTCGCGCTTTTTTTTATGGCGCAAATGCAAACAAATGCGACAAATGTTAAAGCGAGTAAGTATTTCGAGCTGAGAGTAGTACAATATAATTGACAGGCAATGAGCTCTGCAGTTTTTGGATACTCTCTCCCTCTCTCTATCTGTCTCTCTCTCGCTTGGTTGTCAGTATTTGCCCGGGGCTTGTTTGACAAGTTCGCGGCACGTAGCACGGAGCAGTCGCCGCAACGAGTTGTGTACGACACATAATCATCAAACATGCCAGAACACAGAACACAAAACACAGACCCTGGCAGAATAGAGCTCAACGGAGAAACCACACGGCAGATAGTGCAGGGGCTTATCTCACACACACGCACACTCTGACAGAGAGAGTCAGCTATATCTACATATATATTTATATGTATACATACATGCTGGGTTATATGACTTTCGGGTGCTGATAAGAGCCGTTCAGCTGAGTGCCAGAGCCCAGCGGCTAATTGACAGCCCCGCGGCCCATGCGGTTAAATTAAAACGAAAAATCATTTGCCAGCAGCACCAGCAGCAGCAGCAGCAGCACCTCCCAGCAGTGACACCAACCACCCAACCACCCATACACCCACCCACCCAACAGCCCCGTCGTAGGCACCGCGTGGTGCTCTGCCCTGAACTACCGCGGCGGCAGTCGGCATGATTAGAGCCAAAAACAATCAAACAACACACACATCAAAGGCATTTCGCCGTCAATTTGTCATTAACGTCATAATATAGTGACAAGATTGCTTTGCACGGATATCGTTGGGTCGAGCCCGTTCTGCCCGCTCTCCGGCCGTGCTGTGGGTGCCCCCCTTTACCCACTCTTGGAGTATTTGT